TTCATATTTCACTTCCCACTTAGCAAGACACTAAGCTTTCAGTTGTGCAATACTTGAAAAAAATGCCATTATTAAATGTATCAAAGGATTAGACATTTATTATTACCAACTACAACAGTAAAAATGGAGCAGCCTAGTAATCAAGTGACCTAAATGTTATATATAAATTTGAGAGCCATAAAATTTTAGATTTTCTGATTTCAACTTGTTAATCTTCCAAGTGAAAATATTTCCATATTTTCTATAAATAATAGAGAAAATACCTTCAAGCACTGGCTCATCTACACTATTTCAAATCTTGAGAAATATCTTTCCTTGAGATGCTTATTGGGAAAAAAAAAAGAACGAAAGAAAATAACCCAATTAAGCATGTAAGAAGTGATTTTTTTGCATAATTTCTAATCAGCAGGTACTGCTAAAAATTGTTCTACTCTGATGAATGGTTCCTTCTTTTAGACTAAAAATGCAAAATTTTTCAACTAGAAAAGATAGGTACCTTCTTGTGTAGCTGCCTCTTATATTGTAGTTCCATTTATTGAATTAGATTTAGATGCAATTCTGCCCAGGTGGCATGTGTGTAGAGTTATTAGAAAATGTGTGCACTTATTGGATCTTATCACTGACATTTTTTCTCTTCTTCAGATACCAATTTTCTCCATGTATCAATTGTCAAATAAGTTGATTTTAACCAGGCTACAGTGAAAAAAATCATAAAATCTAATTTTAATAAAAATAAGTTATTATATTTATACAGATTAAATATTGGAGTCACATTTTAGTTCCTCAAAATATGTGAAAATTGTCTTGTATAATTTTTGTATTTGTCAAGAGACTAACATTATATTATCTTCTTTATTTAATGTAGCATAGAAGACTACATGAGAAATGCTAAAACTGGAAACTAAAAAAAAATTACTAGTTGGGCTGGGGCCATAGTTCAGTGGTAGAGATCTTACCTACCACTGGTGAAGCACTGGGTCTGATTCTCAGCACCACATAAAAATAAACAAATTAAATAAAGCTATCATGTCCATCTACAATTAAAAGTAAATCCAAAAAATAATAATTTGCTAGATATTCATAATTTCACTTGACATGCTTCTTTTCACAAGATACTTTGACTATATGAAAGTATTTTACTTGCTTTAGGACATACAAAAACTACCTTTGCTCTTATAGCTTTAGGTAAGTATTTGCTTACTCATCTTCATTTCTTTAATAAAAATGAGAAACTTAATCATTTGTAGAATTCTGCCTAATGCCAAACTCCTACTGATATAATCAATTGTGTTTTAGGATCTGTTTTAGTCAGTTTTTTGTTGCTGTTACTGAAAAACCTGACAAGAATAATTTTAGAGGAGGAAAATTTGTTTGGGTGCTGATGGCTTCAGAGGTCTCAGTTCATAGACAGCTGGCTTTATTTCTCCAGGCTCTAGGTGAGGCTGAATATCACACCAGGAGGCAAAGAGGAAAAATTCTGTTCCACAAAGACAAAATATATACCCCAAAGGGACACCTCCCAGGGACTCACCTCCTCTAGCCACACCCTACCTGCCTACAGTTAACATCAATTAATCCCTATCAGGGGATTAATTTACTCATTGGGTTAAGGCTCACAAAACCCAACCATTTCACTTCTGAACCTTTTTGCATTGTCTTACACATGAGCTTTTGGGGAACACATATCTAAAATCTGGAAACACATAACTCAAATCTAGAAGCAATTTAAATGCAGAAAAACAGCAATTATTCACTACATTTGGATCAGAATTCTTGTATAATTTGCTTGTTCAAGTGTCAATGTTCTATGTTCAGTCATCAAATACTGTGGGACACATTATTGACTATTTCTCCCTAAGAAGGGAACGACATGTGTGATATGAATTGTAATGCATTCCTCTGTCATACTTTTTAAAAATAATATAAATAAATAAATAAAAAGAAGGAGGCAAGAGGTCTTATAGAGATAGAGGTCTTATAGGCGATCAGAGTAGGATCAAGAAAGAGGTCATGGGAAAAGTCATTTCAAAATAAGACAAACTAGCAAAACAGGATACACTAGCAAAACAGAATGAATTAGCTAAATCACATCACCACTTAATTAAGAGTGAAGAAAACAGGGGGTCCCGAGTAAAACCCTGAAATGGCTAGATAAGAAACAACCAATCAATTAGCTCAAACTCCCAGAAACAGAAACAAATCAGAATGGGGAGTAGTAAACTTCTCTACAGAAGCCCTAAAAGAGATTGGGCTTAAGACAGAAATGGTACTCCTGCCCCTCCCATGCACTGTGCTGGGAGGTCTGTACTTTCCCCTTCTTAACAAATTTTCTTGTTTGCTTGACTCTGCGCTCAGGATGTTCATTCTTTGAATCCATGGCACATGACCTGATCCAATTTCTGCCAGCAACAATAACACAACTAATAGCACATAAAGGGCTCTGATAAGTCATAAAAAAAATGAAATCTTCCATTTATCTTACTTTAACTCCTTTTTTCCCCAAGTATATGTGGCTTTAAAAAGTCTCCTCCTCGAGCAATATATATTTAAATTATGTAAAAATTTCCACATAATCATCTCTTTAAAATTGTCTCTGAGATAATATTTAGACTGAAATTCTTTAGGTTCTACAAATTTGGACAATATAAAATTTCTTCATTGTTTTAGAGTTCTGTAAGAAGTTGGTTGTAATAACAGTCAGTTCTCAACCTTGGTTATGTGTTTAGTAATAAATAGGTTCACAGTATGGGGACTTGCTCCAGATCCCCGTTTTTAACTATAAAACTATTCCAAATAGAATTCTTTTCCCTTATTGAAAAATAAACATTCTAGAAATGCACTAATCAATCAAGCTTACAGTACAATTTCCTTTCCAAGGGCAGTAGATGATTCTGTATATCACACAATATTTTATTATATCAACTTTAATTAGATTCTATATCAGGAAGTCTATGAAAAAATAATACTGTTTGCCGCAGTCCCTGGGCAAAATAACCAGGAGGTGACAAGCAACTTGAAGGTTGAAGCAAGCGGGGGAACTGCTTTATTGCGGGGAAACTCAGCGGGAACTGAGTGGGAACTCAAGGTAGTGGGAACTCAAGGTAGCGGGCACCCAAGGTAGCGGGAGCCACTTTACTGCGGAACAGCAGAGGTATATATACCTAACTGATTACACACAGCTTGACTCAATTAGCATCATCCAGATACAGCAATCAGCCAATAAGGAATCTCCACCATCTTAATGGCTCGGTGGCATTGCCTCTGGAACCACTCCTCCTGGCAAACTGCCAGGCACCATCTTGACTTGATTTGTGGTCCCCAATAACTGTTAACACCAACGTATTCTCTAACAATGTACAGTCCTTGGCTTGATTTTTTCTCAGACAAATCTATCATGATCAAAGAAACAGCATAACATCCAAAAAGAATTGGCTAATAACAAACTACCAATTAATATTTTCCCCTCAATTCCTTCTTTGTTTATTGAATTTTAAAACTGAAAATGGGCAGTTTTTGAGATTCACTTTAATGTCCTTTGAAAATTCATGTTTCTATACTTTTTAATCATAAGGAAAAACTAAATATTATAGTTCCTTTAAGTCAACACTGACAGATCATTCTTATAAATTTTATTTCTCCAGCATTATAAATATATATTTTATTCTTAAAGAAAAATGGACCATGTCAGCTTTTGAATCTCATGAGCTCATAATTAATTTTTCTTTTGGAGAAAGGAAATTTTTCACTGCTGGCATAGGTATGCTATACATTCGCTGTTAGAGAAATTATATATATTTTTAACTTCTCTATATTTTTATCTTTTCTGTTAGGTTTTCCTCTTTAACAAAGTTTGGTTAATTTCCTTTTTGATGAGGTGACAGTAATTCATACTTGCAAAATTGTTATATTAATTAAATAAAATTTCCACATTGATTTGGTGATCTAACTTTAAATTTGGATCCTAATTGTGACATTTCCACTAAATCAGTAACCTTAAATAAAATGATTCTATACCATAGGTATAGTCTATATTATTGCCACCATCAATTAATAAAACTTACTAGTGGTAAGGTTTCATCTATAAAATCATAGCAAAAGTATTTTATAAGATAATATGTATTTTACACAAATCTGGGGAGGCAGCAAAAAATTTGGGATAAATGTGCTAATGTTGAAAATATGTGATCACTAGACACCATGTTTTATTTAGTAAGAAGAGCTGGCAGGCATGGCTGGAAACATGGAGAAGCTCCATGGGTCAGTGGATATTCTGCTTCATGATATCAGCTGTCCCTACGTGTTGTCTAAGAACTGATGTGCTCTAGCTGACTTGTGATATATAACTACAATGGTGGCTACATTTCTAGAAGTGATAGAAACAAGTATAAATTAGATGTGATCTGAAAGTCTATGAAAATACTGATCAGGTTCTGGGGAATTAGGAAAATTGCAATAATAAGATGATGTGCCAACAGAATTTGAAATAAATATTAACAAAACATACAAAATTTATAAAATTTTCAAATGTATGTTTTTACTGCATACAATATCAATATAACTGGCATATTAATAAAATGACGTATTTGAACTACTATAAAAATGAAAATAATATTTCCACTGAACTATGAATAAAAACAATATATCCCCACAATTTTGAGAAAAAGTCTCCTGGCTTTCTTTTTTCCTCTTAAGAATTTAATACATAGATTAAAAAGGAACTGTTACTTTGATCTCAGACTGCTTTAATTGTGTTTTCTATCTGCAAGCTTATATCATCTAAAAATTTTTTCAATGAGCATTTGTGAATGTATGAATAAATGATTATTTAATTACACTTGAATATATACATGAGTGGGATAGAAATTATTTGTGGCAAGTAATTTGAAATGATTCTAAAATCAGGTCCTAGGGCTGACACATGACACCTTGGGATGTTGGTTAAATTGTTGCTCTTATATATTCATTTTCAAGTTCCTACTTTGCTAAATATTCCTTTTCAGGAAGAATTTGTCTTCAGTTCCTTAAAAGTGCAGCAAGATTAATGGATTCATCAATTCAATCACTAATTCAATAAACACTCTGAGGTCCCTACCAACCAGAACATGTCAAGGCCTGGCTAACAGGTAAGTTTCCCTGAGGTCATGAAAGCAGAATTCCACACTGACCTCCATAATGGAGATCACAAGGTATTCAATGTCTGTGTCAGTTCCTCCTGGTGAATGAGAGGTAGTCACCCAAGACCTTGTTTTTGCAAGAGAATAATGGGAAAAACAAAAAGGCAGAACTTACTGAACTTCCAGTGTAGTATAAGAGAGAGTTATGATAGAAATATGCACAGAAGTGGTAGCTGATGCAATCTAAGGAGAGTATGTGTTAAAGTGTAAAAGGTCGAGGGAAACGGTTACTTATTGGGAAGGCAGAAGTTGGAAAGGGAAATTGAGGACAGTATGCTAGGAAAAGGGGACATAATAAGACAGAGATAAATAATACATAAATAAATGAATAGGTGTATATATATATATATATATGTGTGTGTGTATATATTTCATCCCTCTTGTAGTTTATATTGCTTTCATTATCATCATGTCTTAAAAATCAGTATATAAGTAAATTATCATTATAAATATTTCAAGAATATTGAAAATGGTAACCCAAAAATGAAAAATAGACTTGATTTTACACCCCAGTTTTTAGATAAGATTTAAAAATTTGGTACATGTATTAGTTCTCCATTAATGTTTTATGTAACTATGCACAAACACATATAAATACACAAATTGCATATTTTGAACTGAAAGACTCATATCATATACTTAGTCTGACTTAATTTGTTGACATAACCATATCTTGGAGCATTTACAAGAATGTACACAAAAGGAGGTGCCTACCTCCTTTTCAATGGCTGCATCATTTCCCATAATACAGCTTGGGCATCTATCAGGTTCTCAGAGATGGACATGTAGGTCAATTTTAAGATTTTTATATAATAAACTGAGTTGTAATGAACATTCTTAGATCTAAGTCTCTGAGTTCAAATGTAGACATAGAATTATTTTTATTTCTGATATAAACTACCATTCTAATCGCCATCTAAAAATTTTAAAAACATGTAATCCTAGCAGAAGTTATGCCACTGAATATTTTAATATCCTTCCTGGCACTAGGCATTCTCAGATTTTTACACTGTTGATGTTTGATTCTACAAATCTTTATGCATTTTCTATCTCATATAAATATAAGGCCTTAAAGTCAAATACCTTGTAAGAATCTGGCAAGTAAAATAAACTTTTGAATCAGAATGGAAAATAGCTTAGAAATTTGGAAGAAATATGTTCTGGTTACATTAGATATTAAAATTTAGACTGTTTTGAAAATATTATGTTGATCTTACAAAATAAAACTATAAATATAACTGTGGTCCTGTGGATCATTGATTTGAGGCCTATTGTAAGAAAAGAAGTCACTTGTGAGAAGACACAATCTTTCCTCTTTCCCAACTGAATGACTCTGTCCTTCTCCTTCACGTACACTCAGTCAGTCCTTACCAATAGATAGATTCAGAGATGTGAATGTTGTATCCTATTTTAAGGACTGATGTGTGAGAAAATCACTTTCTATTCTTTAGCATGGGGTGAGATATTTCATACTCTGCAGAAAAGCCATTTATCACATGATAAAAGACAGAGCATTTAAAGGAAATTTGACATGTTTTCTGCTATTTTCATGCAAAATATATGTTTTGCTCCAATATCTCATCTTTAAAAAAGCACCAATTATCTCTCTAGAGAAACCATGAATTTAAGGCTTTCATCCCATTTTCTTCTACCTTTCTGTTCCTTTCATCTGACACATTGCTTAACTTTTTATAACTGGAGAATTTCACATTAAAAACAACTTTTGATTTTACTATGGCAGACATTTAACTTAATATATTTTAAGTGGTAAATGCTCTGCTATGTTAAGCAGACTGTTATTAAACTGAATACTAGGGACTTATTACTATCAAAAAGAAAGTAAGTTCAAAATATTTTTAATTCATAAAACTCTCCCTTTGTCTTTACTATACCCAGTAGGACTACAGTTGGTGACATATCTGATGGCTATGAGCCTGAAGGAGAGTTGGCATATAATAACTAATATTCTTTAAAGATCATTCTGGCTTGCACTTGAAGGCCAATTTGCATATCTGACTACTGAGCTGATGAGGTTATGAAAACAGTCATGATTCTCATCAGAAAAAGAGGGCTGTTAAGTTCTGTAACAAATTTCTTTCAGCTGCTCACTACTCTAGTCTCCTCAGGTTAGCATACATAATACTGTGATAATAAACATTCATGCAGAATGGGTTCTATAACTCAAGCCAAACTCAGCCCCTGGCCAAGTGTTAAGCAAGCCAACTTGGATTGAATAAGCTACCTGGAAAGTTAGTGTAGGTTTCAGAGTCAGATTTATCTGGCTTAGCAATTTATTTGGAATTTTGATAGATTAATTTACTGGGTAATTACTATGACATGCAAACCCTTAATTTCTTAGTAGGCAAAATGGTAATAATGATGCCTATTCCACTGAGTTGCAGTGATCGAGGCGAGGTGAGGTACATCAACAAGCAGCACTCTGTCAGTTCCAGTCACTCAGTGATTCTCATTAGCTGAGAAAAGACATTTATTTATTGTTTGTTTTGCTTTGTCTTCCTCATGGATAACTAAAGTTGGATCAGTTATTCTGGTCCATTAGCCACGTGCCCCTTCTCTTCCAGATCATGCATGAATGGATGGTCTGCTTGAATGTCTGGTCTGTTCCAACAGAGAAGACCTTTCATCAAAAGGCTTTGAAGAATACTCACATCCCCACTGCAGCTTTCACTTGTGCATTTACCACCTCCTGCCTTCCCTTGATGCTCTTCCTGATATCCATCAGTTCACACCATGTCCACTATTCTCATCATTCACTTCAGCTGAGCTTTAGATGATAGTAACACCATTTTCTATAGCATCATGTTGCTCACTAAATTACAGGAGTATTGTGAAGTTGATCAGCTTAAGCTTATTCTCAAGTTCTGCTTGTTTTATTCAACATCTTTCATTTTCCACAAATTCATCTACAGATTGCTGCTGCTCTAATTTGGCATCTCAAAATATTACTCTTCTTAACTGTGTCTTCTAAATATGTTGATTGACTTTTGCTTTACCAGTGGTGAATGCTATGTCTCTACCTGATGTCTCTTGTCCTCTGCCTGAACCTAGAAATCATCTTTACCTTCTGTTCTTTTCTGTTTGTTTGTTGTTTTTTTTTTTATAACTACCCTTCTTAAAAAGAAGTGGTTTAGGTTAGGTTTTTAACACAACTTACATATGAACTAGTTGCAAACCACAGTTTTGATAAACATTCTGTGTTTCAGGAGGCTATAGCAATGGGATTTGTAACTGATTAGCTAATGATCCTGATGATTTCATTGAACATAGAGTCTACTTTTCATCACATAGTGCAACTGTAATTTGATATATTACTCTGCCCAAATAAAGAGTAGAATGTCTACTCTTCTAATTCAAAAGAAGATCCCCACAGACTGAATGCCTGTCAAATATATGATATTCATTATTTTTAATTAACCTGCCAATGTAATGTCAATGTAATTTGGTATTATGTGACCCATGACACTCTTTCCATATGTGTTGTCTTTTAATAGACTTTGGATCATCGTCCTATAGTTTACAAGAATGTCTATAAAACTATTCTGATTGTTCAAATGTATATGTAACTTTCAATAAATATTTAGTTATTTTAAAAGAACATTGTCTTTGAGCATCAATATAGCAAATAGTCTACCACATGAAAAACAATTTCTTAAAAACTGAGGAGACATTGCCTCTGACTTGTTGATCTCCATCTGGCTGAGAAATAAACTATGTCAAGGCCATCTGACTATCAATCTGCCTGGCTCCTCGTCCCTTAGCTGTCATTGCCTACAATCAACTCTCCTAGGACTTCTGAGGATCATTTGCATTGCTAATGACAGAAAAGATCCTCAAAGCAGCTGAAACCCAGATGGCTAGTCAGGTGTATTGAGATAGACTAAAATCCAACTGACTTTGCTACTCATGGAAAAAGTAATATACAGGAAATCAGCCATTGTCATTCAAAGAAATCACCTTCTCATCTCTTTGACTTTATGGTAAATATATCCCAATATCTGCCAGGAGGACTCTACTCCTTGTGTTTTAGAAAACCCAATATTATTCATCCAACAATACATTCTACTCCATTATGTACTACAAATGTAGAAACCACAGAGAGACAATTCAGAGGCTGGCACTTTCATAATGGGGATACATTCATCCCATGGCCATGGCTTTAAGACCTTCAATAACCAGTGAGGGGCTTGGCTATACATCAATATGAGAAAAACGATTGTACAATAAATAATACAGTTGTGATACTACATTACTACTAAACAGTCTGAGATTATTTGTTCTCCAGCAAATCAGTATGCCTTTTTATTTTATTCATTCAAACTCATATACACAATGCTAAAGTTTTACAATTGTAAGGCAACTTTTGTAAAATAATGCATTGATGAAGCCAATGTCTTTGGAACTCAATCTCCTATTTGCAAGCAGCCTTAATTCATAGTCCGCAAAGATTTATTCACACCAGTGGAGCTATATATAGGATTCCTACTGATACTATATGCTGAGTGAATAATAGATTATCTGAAGAACTTTTCAAGAATATTTGTTAATGAACTCTGCCATAAATTAATAAAAACGTGCGGTTACATCCCTCCATTAGCTAATGCTGATGTTGTTATTGTTTAAAGCTCCAGGTGATTTTAAGGTAAGTAGATGTATCATGAACACTTAACAATGTTGTTACTAACAGTGTTAATACTTAACATTGCTAATATTACTAACGATAAATATTGTTGAAAATTTTCCATAGGACAAGAGTTTGAAGTGTCTTCCAGTTATGATGTCTGATAACTGAACTGAGTTGGAATTGTACCAGGCTGAATGTAACAGAATAAAGGGAATATCTTCAGCTAACAAGAACTTCAGAAGTCAGTAGTCCAAGATTAAATCAGAAACTACTCATGTTAATCAAAGCCACAGGATCCCTTGACTTTATCAACAAACAATAGACTGGCTTTTCCTTGTAGACAGTCGGTTTTTCCAGGAAACAAGAAGAAATTAACAGAGTGGTAAGAGGGGTTATATTAAAAAAAAAAAAAAAGCATTTTCACCCTGGAAATTCTCAATTGACTTCTCAGTACCCAGAAAAATAACCACAAAAGAAGTTAAGAAAAATCTAGAAAGTACATTACCATTTCTTTTTCTATTTTGTTAACATTAGTATCATTCTTACTTTGTATCCAAAAAATGATGTTTACTGTTTTTATATACCCAGGTGCCATCTACATCAAAAAGTCAGAAATATTTCTCTTGATGAAATATACTTCTCATCTAAATATAAAAGACAATATATGTAAAATATTTTTGAAGGCTCATTTCCCCAAAAGGAATCATTTTCCATGAAAAATATGATATATAATTTGCTTAATAGCTATGCCAAACATGTGATAAAATTGCACTATCAAGAAAATTTTACAAATGTGATGTCCCATTAATCAACATTTTGATGTGTTTCTTGAGCAGTGCTCACAAAGACTGCATTTTCCTAGACTGGAAAAATCATGCTTATCATGTATACCTGTTTTAAAATTCAGATGGCATTCACTTTGTGTTAAATTCTGAATCTAAAGAGAAAGAGTTCTATTTTTATCCCCCCTCAGCTCAATTATGAATGTAATTGCTCTGGCCATTAACTGTATGATTACATGTGCATCCTTTGTCTTTCATTGCTTGATGAATCTTTTTGACATGTTATTTCAAAAGAAGAATGTACTGAGAGACAAACTTCTCAGGTTGATGTGATCCACTTATAAAAGTTCAAGTTAGTAATGCAGAAGACTTGGGAAATGTTTTATTATTTTTTAAAGGCCCAATCAGGAAACAAAATTCACAAAATATTTAAAAGGAAATACTTAAAGAATTATTAACTCTAAGGAGGTTTTCTATAAAGCAGTAGAGTGCTCTTAAAAAGTACCCCATGGAAAGTATACAAGGAAGAAATCTCTAGGATTGAACTCAGATCTCCTTGGAGAAACTGACTGCAGATCAGTGCATGGCAGAGAAGGTGTTAACACAGGTAAGAACTTTTCTACAGTTGTTGGATAAGTATGAAAAATCCCTGCAGAGTGCAAGAGATAAATAAACATGACTATTACTGACAAACAGGAATTACTCTGAGTTGACAGAAGAGGCAGGTAACCAACCACTGGCTCACTTAGAAGCCTCATTAGTAATTCATTTATAATATACCATTCAATTTCAATGGCAAATAGTGCACAGGACTCCAACTGATACATAATTAGGGTGAGTGGTGCTGATACTGTCCACATATACTACCCCCACTGTCTCTACATGCCAGTCACGTGGAGCACAAAGAAAATAATGGGAATCCAAAAAGGGAACTCCTTCTTCTTGTTGTGTCTATTCAGTACCTACTAATGTCAAAGCTTAGCATCACCAGCTGCAAAGGAGACATTTTTAAAAGGCTCATCTCAATTTTTGAAGAGCAAACAAGGAAGGGTACATTTGTCAATATGTTCATAGCCTACACAGTTCCTATCATCAACCTGGGCCCTAGATGGAAGGTGTAAAAGCTGGGAAAAAGCCAGTAGAGACAAACATACAGCTTTAAAATGCATGATGTAAGTGCTACTGATTTATCTTTAATTAAACAAAAATTGCCTCCAGAATTTACTTTAAATTTGATTTTTTGTCATTTTCAGCATATATTTGTTTACTTGTTGACAGAAAATGAAAATCTTATCTTGGTCATTAAAACCCATTGACTACTCCTTTCCTAATTAAATAAATTCAGCATTCAAACTTATAGAGATGCAAATAGCACAATAGAAAAAAATAGCATAATGCAATAAAAACAATATAAAATAGTAACACTTTTGTCAGTAATGTTGGTAGACTTTATCATAGGGCAATTATTGATTAATTTGCACTTAAAAACAATATAAATTAATAAATTGTTATCCCTAGACATTTATGTTTAATAGCAGTATGTTTACTGAAAACAGATTTTGGGCTAGCATAGAGCATCTTTTAACCTGAAGAGAGGACTGAGTACTAAAAAAAGTTAAATAATCCCTTATATATCATGACTTCTATGTATCTCTGTATTGATAGAGAAACTTTTTAAAAAATGAACTGGGTTACATTTTCCCTTTTTGGAACTATCTAATTACTTTTGAGTACAATAACTCTTTAAACTCAAAGCAATTGCTTATCTTGCCATAAGTGAGTTTTTAATAGTATTTGATAAAAATGTAAAACTCTGTCACTTTTTCTCTAGAATTCAAATATACATCTGAATCGTTAGCATTGATAAGCTTATGCTTAGGTCTCAGAGCTCAGAGATGTGCCCTGTGGGCTGGGACCTATCTTTGAGGACTGGGAACTGACATTTGTATTAACGTCTTTTGGGGGAGTCGAGTTAAGTCTTTTCTGGAAACATTGGGGAATTGCAAAATGAATCTTACTACCACGGGAGAGAATTGCCACTGTCAGCATTAAGAAGATTGACAGAGTGACTCTCAGAGTAACAGGACACAAACAAGCAGAAAAATATGGGAATCAGCAATCCCTTCTTTCTCCTCCAGATTTGCAGTATTTCTGTGGTTCTCACTATAAGCAGAGTTTAACTTACAGACTGATGGGAAAAGAAAACTACAATTTCTGAATTTTAAATCCCAGCATAATATATTAAATTATAGATGTCTAAGTCTGGAGCTGAGAGACAATATCTTAATAATTACCACAGATTGTCTTAGAATTTGACTTGCTCTTTTATAATTCAACTGAATATTACTGCTTATTATAGAAATGTCATTATTCCCAATTTGCATATGTAAGTATTGACTCTCAATATTTAAGTGTTCCATCCTGGCATGTCTGCTATAATGAACTTCAAATTTGAATGCAGTGTTTTCTCTTTCCATCTATTTATCTTCAAGCTGAAAGCCTTGATATTGCTGTTATCTTGAATGTTGTTACCTCCTTAACTTTAACTCGAGATTCTCTCAAAAACTTTGGGCATCTTTAGCATTATTCAATTCCTCAAATGTTTAAAATATCATGAATGAACTCTATCATTCATGAATGTTTTTTGTGGGAGAAATTTTAATTATAATTTCATGTCATTTATGAATATATTTATATATACACATAGTTCATACACATATCACTTATATATACCTAAACAGAAGTATATATTATGGTTTTATATATATATATATATATATATATATATATATATATGAAACTGGGTTTTCTAATTCTTATGTCAATATCCCTGTTTCATTTGTCAGGCATATTCATATTTTTGTAAATATATGATACTTTCTGTAAAGTTTAAAACATCCTTTCAGTATGCTCTGTGGTCATGATCCTTTACTTCTGATACTGGTAATCCATGCCCTCTCTTCATGTTATTGGTTCAGAATAACCTTAATATCAAAGCTTGGGAAGGACTTTTATACCCAAGTTAAATGATGGAAAAACCCTTCTTGTAAACGTAGACATAAAACATTAAACACTATCATAGCAAATCAAATCTAGTAATATAAAATGTAGATGATGTCAAGTTTATTAATTCAAAGATCTATCGTATTACTTAATCATAAAATGATAAAATTAATTCACCACCTTAATAAAACCAAGCAGAAAAATGATATTATTTAAACAAATGTGTGTAAACATTTTATAAGATTTTACATATATCCAATTTGAAGTAAAACTCAATAAAGTAAGAATGAGAGATTTTCTTTAACCTTATAAAGAATATATCTTAAAATTTGCAAAAAATATAATATTTGTGAAATAGTTTAAATATTTTTCCATACATTGAGAACAAAATGGCTATATCTGCCATTTCTTTTAACCAACATTGTGCTTGAAGTTACAGATAATGTTATATGATGACCAAAATAAATTTTAAAATATAAACATTGAGAAGAAAGAAATAAAAGTGATTAATTCATAGGTAGTATATTTGTATACAGAAGAAATCAAAAGAATCTGTACATAAAACATTATCTATACATAAACCATGTTAAGATGCTAATTTTGAACATTTATATTCCTCATAATAACAATTTCAGGAGGTTTCACCTAATATCAGAATTGATACATAAGTTTAATAATATTTCTCATTTAATATAAATACACCAAAACAAAAAAGAAACCCTATACTTTTAGAACAGTGAAAAGCAAATTAGAAAATAATAGCTGGAAATAGGAAATGCTAATGTACTCTCACACAGTATGGCTATTGTCAATAATAACAACATACCATCTATTTTGAAAAGCAAGTAAAAAGATTTTAAATGTTCACCATAAAGAAATGATAAATTTTTGAGGAAATGAATATGTTTAACCTAATTTAAAGTTTAGATATAAGTAAAATGTGTAGTTGTACCAGAGGATGACCTGGCATCCCATAAATACATATAACTTATATTTTTATGTATCAGTTAAAAATAAATTAACTAAATAAAATTCAAAAACAAAAAGATTAGAAAAAAATATTTCAATTTCTGCCCTCTGAATTGTCTTGTAAGCATTGAATGACTGGGAATAAATATAAAGACTTCAAGGCCTCTAAAAGAAAAGCTTCTGAAAGAATTCAAGCCCTCTAAATTTTGTAGAAACTACAAAACTTTACTGAAACAAAATCTACATAAATAATGTCAATGTGCAATGGTTACAGGTTGAATGGCTTAATATTATAAAGATGTCATTTTTTTTTTCAAAAACTGATCAACAATACCAGTGCAAGACTCACTGTATCCAAGTGTTTTCTGGTGGTTAAAACTACTTTTAAATTTCATATAAATGTACAAAGAACCAGGATTAGCTCGGATACTCTTGAAGAAAAATAAGTCAAGTTTTGATATATACACACTTTTATAAAAATAAAGACAGACCATTGTAAAAGTATAAAGAACCCAGAAACAGAGCCAAACATGGTATTGGAACTATGTGAAATTCTCCCACTGTTCCAAATTATGTTTTGACTAATTGCTCAATAAATGCTAGTTGGAAGAAACTATCTCTAGCTTTTACCTATTTATTAAAAGGCATTTTATTTTACTAAAAACATACAAAAGCTATTAGATTTACTCAAATACAGAGATACATATTATTCTTACTACTAAATAAAATAAAAAGAAATTTTAGCTAAGAAATAGTCATTAGCTAAGTATTATTCGAACTTAGCATTATTGACAAGGGTGTTGCCTGGGGAGACTTGGTAATCTGTAGCTGGACTATGCCACAGAACAACACATCCACCTAACTTGATAACAAGGAGGATTCCATAGTCAAAACACAATTTGGAGCCATGTGAGAATTTCAAATTGCCCTTATGCCTTCAGTGTAAAAGTTCATATCTTCAATGAAACTTTTCCTGGCTCCATTACTTAGCAGTCATCAAAGTCAGTATAAATGACCAACTTTGAACTTTACCTTTCTCTTTTAAGTCTAAAATTTGTCTTCTGGATATATTAAACATTTTGTGAAAAATACAATGAAAGATTAAAAAAAGTGTTTTTCTTGGATATGTTAAAGAAGCAAATGAATTGTGAATATTGTCTGTTTTATTTTGTTTCATTTTGCTTTTATTAAAAGAACTTGTAGAAGTTTAGTCATATGACTCTGAAAGATCTCTAGCACACCTACAAAAGAAAATGATAGGCATCTAGAATAATTTCTTCCTAAAGAATAGCAAGAGATATTTTTTAATGTTGTCAAGTAGGATTCTGACTTGTCACAACGTTAGACATTGTCAACAGGAATTTTGCTATCTTCTCTACCTCCCAAATATAAACTATATTTTTCATTTATAGTTAACAGAATTTTATCTGAAAAACTTTATGTACAAACTAGATATTATATATTTTTTATGCTGAATCTTAGAACACTAAGATAACTTGGGGTAAGAATTGGTTTATATTTATGTTTGAATTTAAAACATTATTATGATTTCCCAATGAAAGTCACCATTGAAATAATTATTTTAAGATGATTTTTTTCTGCATGTTTGTGTATTCTAGACATATTACCTACCCTTTTTTAGATTGATGGAGATTTGGCACTCTGTTTATAAAATCACAATATGTTCATTTAATTTTTGCATTTTTTAAATTTTGAGAACATTTTGAAATAACACATGAAAATGACAATTGTGCAATACCAAATTACTATAGTTATACAGAATACACCCATTTTGCTTATCGACCTGCCAATGTAAAAGCAGTGTTCAATGTACATCCAATTACACAGCATCCCAGAATGTTTAGAGATTTACTGCAAAATTAGGTGACTGATTTTGAAGTATTAATTGGTTATCTGCTGAATGCTTATGTAGTGTTTCATATTTGTAGAGTGATATTGATTAGATGGCTTGATTTTACTCAATTTGTACAATTTTTAGTTTATTTTAAAAATAAAAACATTATTAAATTCTAAAAAGTCTCCTGAAATTACTGCAGACTATCATAAAAGTTAGAGGGAACCAGATGGGTCAAACAACTATCTATTTTATATATATTTATATATTTTTTGCTATTTTGCTGTTAGGTCATTTATGTCATGTGTCTCAACTTTTCAAAGAGGTAGTTAAAATAATAGCTAGCATTTTTTGAATTGAAGACAGTATGTTGGAAAAGAAGGTGAAAAGATTTGCTTAATGTCACATGGAAAAAATTATAGAGAAAAATGATAGAGACAGGAAACAATATCTAGTTTTTTAAAATTTTCAGTTAAGTGTTTTTCAAAGTGAGCCATTCTCACAACTTCTCTATAATAGAAAAAACTTTTTAAAAATCTGCATCACTTCACAACAAAAGTGCTGAACACATTATAGAAGGATCATATATCAACATAATGAAGGCTACATATGGCAAATCCATGTACGACCTCATACTGAATGAGGAAAAACTAAAATCATTCCCTTTAAGATCAAGAACAAGACAAGGATGTCTATTATTATTTCTCTTAATCAATATAGCACTAAAGATTGTGGCCATAGAAGTAGACAAGAGAAATAAATAGAAGCCATATGAATAGAAAAGGAAAAAGTCAAATTATCCCTGTTTATAGATGATATAATTCTGCATATATAAAAAGTTAAACACTCCACCAAAAGACTAGTAAAAATGGCAGACAAATTTAATAAAGGAGCAGGATACCAAATCAACATTAACAAAACTGTAGCTTGTCTATATACCCACAATGAATTTGTTGAGAAAGCATAATTCACAATAGACACACAAAAAAATCTAATATGTAGGAATAAACTCAACTAAGAAAGCGAAATACCTCTACAATGAAAAAAATAAAAAAGAAAGAAAGAAAGAAAATATACTGAATAGTGGAAAGACCACCTATGTTTATGGAGTGAAAGAATGAATATTGTTAAAATATCCATATTAGCCAAAGTAATATAAAGAGTCAATGCAAGTCCAAGAAAATAACAATGATATTCTTCATCAAATTAGAAAAAGCAATCCTAAAATTCATATGGAGTCACAAAACATCCCAAATAATCAAAGTAGCCTTGAGCAAAAATAACAAAGCCAAAGGCATATAAATACCTGATCTCAATACATACGAATAAGCAATAGTAACAGAAACAACTTGGCATTGGTATAAAAACAGACACCAATGGAACTGAATAGAGAACCCAGAAATCAGTCCATGAATCTACAGCCAACTGATTCTAGACAAAGTTGTCAAAACCATACATTAGAGAAAGGACAGCTTGTTCAATAAATGGTGTTGGTGTAAAGTTTTTTGAGCTCTTTGTATGTTCTAGGTATTAATCCTCTAGACAGAATTTTTTTTTTCAAATATACACATGAAGAAGATTCAAGCTTAGCTTCTGTTTCAAAAATCAACTCAAAATGAATCAAAGACCTTAATGTAAGCCCTGAAGCCCTGAAACTGCTGGGTAGAAAAATAAGAAAAAAAAAATCAATGTATTGGTACAGGCAATGATTTTTTCCAAAAGGATTCCAAAGGCCCAGACAGAGAAGAAATTCCTTTTACAAAAGAACATTATGAAAGATAGAAAGAATATATATATATATATATATATATATATATATATATATATATATATGTGTGTGTGTGTGTGTGTGTGTGTGTGTGTGTG